CGTCACGGAGGGGAGCGTCACTGTGGGAGCGTCCCGGCGGCAGCGTCCCGCGCAGCAAGCGGACGCCCGCACCCGCCTGCACAGCGTTTGCCGGGTCCGGTACAACGCCCCGCTCTGCCCGCCGCCCCGCTCTGCCCGACTGCGCGCACCTGACGCCTGCGCCACCCGGCATCGCGCAGGGGCTTCCCCGTAGACTCTTCCGCTTGAAATTCCTAACACCCCGAGAAGCGGGCGGACAGGCCGGGGTGACTTCATTACTTTAAAGAGTTCATTTCTTAGAGCAGCTGGTCTACAGCAACGCTGAAGCACGGAGATGTCCCACCCGCCCGCTGCCCCCCCGCACAGCAGCCATTGCCAGCGACCCACTTCCCCGAGGGCGGGCCTACGCTGACATGCTGCCGGCACCCAAACCACAGTCACCGCGGGTTCGCTCCCGATGCTCGCCAGCCCACGGGTTTGGAATGACAGGGATGAGTCCCTGGCGGCCCCACTTTCCAGGCCGCACCCCTCCGTCCCCGCCTGCTGGGCCTCCGTCCTCGGAAGGACCTAACTTCAGGCATCTTGCGAGCTTCGGGGAAAACGATTCCATGAAAGCGAACATCCTGCCGTGGTTTTGACACACACCCGGAATACGCACGCCCTGCACCAGGCCTCATCCCAGCTCCCCTGATGTCCCAGTGATGTCACAGAAGCGTGAAAGGGACTTTTTGTTGAAACCTGACAAAAGCAGTTACAACAAATCCTTCCCGGAGTCAGGCCTCTGCCTTCCCGAGCAGTCACCGAAGGCTGTCCCCAGGGGCCACACTACTTGCTGCACGGCGGGAGCACCGATTTTAAGATCTGCTCGGTACTAGGTTAGGTTCTAGCTGAAGCAGAGGTGGGTCCTCTCTGAAATGGAACAAGTTAACTTCAAACTCAGGCAAGGAGTCCAGTCCTCCATTCTTGCCTCAGACATATTAAGCCTTTGATATAACTTAGTAACATACAAGAAATTAAATTTATAACAATATTTTTAAAATGCAAAGGTAATGCATAATTATTTTTAAATTTTCAAGTACACAGAAATTGAGAAATGTCATGTGAAAGTCCTCTATAATCCCACCAAGATAACAACTGAATAATTTCATGGATAATCATGCAAAATTTCCTTTCTTTTTATTTTTCAGTTCTGCATGTTTAGTTCTACAATTATTTTAGCCTGAAAAACAAACACCAAACAACTTTAAAAAACCCCACCCTCCCCCATCTCCCCCTGGCAACCGTCAGCTTGTTCTCTGTGGCTACCAGTCTGTTTCTCTCTTGTTTATTCACTTATTTTTTATAGTCCACATGTGAGTGAAATTATACGGCCTCTGTCTGGCTTACTTCACTAAGCATATTACCTGCTAAGTCCATCCATGTTGTCGCAAATGGCAAGCTTTCATTCTTTTTCACTGCTGAGTAATACTCCACCCCATGTATGTACCACATCTTCAACTAATCGTTACTGATGGACATCTAAGTGCTTCCATATCTTGGCTATTGTAAACAATGCTGCGCTGAGCATAGGAGTGCACGTACCTTGTAAAATGTTCTACGCATACACTATAACTTTCTATTGTACAAACATATACTTTCTTATTTTATAAAAGTGGGATCACAATAATGTTCTGTAACTTGCTTTCTTCACATACTTGGACACTTTCGAAGTCAATAAAGATTAATTCCTGTAGCCTTTGTTCAAACCCACCTTCTCATCCAGGTCTCCCCGACCACCCTGTATAGCTTATCCCCCCTTCCCATTT